TGTATGTTTAATATCTATGGCTTTTTCTATTTCATGATATTCATCAATGACTAACTTCTTTCTTCTAAAGGCTGATCCTAAAATATTAAATAATCTATTTTCTTCAAGTGGTTTAAGATTTAATTCTGCTGTATTGATTTTTCTAAACTTTTCCCAATCAAATTTTCCTTTTAAAGTATATCCCTTTACTCCTTCGTATACTTCGATTTCTAAATCCTCAGAATTTTCAATTTCCATGTTCTCTATGGCTATAACTCCTCGAAATTTTTAATATAGAGCTCTGATACCATTTTGTGGGGGATTTTCAATGAAACAAAAATACAATTTCAATAGTAAACAAATTCTTTAAATTCTTGGCTTTAATAGGTGGAAAGAGTTAATAGTGAAGAAAAATTAAATTTTAATTCCAAAGGGGAAGCAATTTTTCAAATTTATATAAGATTAAAATTTTAGGGACTAAAATGAAATCTATTATAACTTAGAATGACTTGTTAGACAATTTTTTTAATCTTGGGGGTATTTTAGGATCTTTAAAACTTTAAAATGGTCAAATGCCATTCTTGAATTATGGCTTCAATTTTAGGCTATTTCTATATATTTCCACCCGTAAAACACCACTTCAAAGAAAACCCTCTCACAACAATCGCTCCCTTCCTCATCCTCTAACAAGATTAGTTGATGGCAAACTCGACGATGGACTCATTGGCGACGAGCACATCAATGCGGGCAGATCGACAGCAGTGAGTTTGTTCTTGAACCATTGCAAGGTTTGAAAATGGGTTTAAATTTTCATAGAATTTGTCTCTAATGATTTTGTAGAAGATTTTTCAACTTCATTTTATGTAGTCAATTAAATTCCTTATCCTCATTAGCAATGTAAATTTTGATATTTTCTACACTGTAAGTGTTTTTTTGGGCTTATTTATGATATTTATAGTCGTTCCTTGATCTCTTGAATTTGTATTCAATGACAAAATTGTGGGTTCAACAACAATAATTATTACTTGAATTTGTTTACATAATTGCCAAACTTTTCTAGCAACTTCTTCGGCATATGTCCCGAGCACCATCTATGCTTAGTATTGGGGAGAATAATTTCAATTGCATTTTGCATAGCCCAATTTTGATATGTAATTATTTCTTTGGGAGCTTGACCAAGCATGCACTTTCTTATGTCCCGATCACCATATATGCTTAGTATTGGGGAGAATAATTTCAATTGCATTTTGCATAGCCAAATTTTGATATGTAATTATTTCTTTGTGAGCTTGACCAAGCATGCACTCAAGCTGTGTCTTGAATAGCCAAACAAATATCATTGTATCCTCATTCGAAACCAAATTATAGCCAAGTAGTGTTGATTACCCACGATGATTCACACCAATAAAAGGAGTGAAAAGCATATTGTACTTGTTAGCCACGTGTGTGGTGTCAAAAGTAACTACATTACCGAATTTCTCATATGCTCGTCTACACCTATAATCTGCCAAAACACATTTCTTAATCGAGACTCTTTCATCCAAGTCCATGCTGAAATAGAAACCAGGACTACCTATTTGCATTTTCAAAAAGTAAGCTTGTATTGCAACACCATCTCATTCCCCAAGTCTTAAACGTTGTATTTTGAGGATGAAATTTCTACAATATTTTTCAACACGTCATGTTCTCAAATCCCCTAGCTTCAACTACAGCTGAATTATAACAATTATGCAATGGAATTTCAGTTATAGCATTCACCTCCAGCCTTCTTTAAACATGTGCACTAAGTTGTCGATTGCATCAATGCAACCTAGATTTAGATAGACTTGTTATGATTAGGCTCTAAATGCACAGTGTTGATTCGCCATATTCCACAAGCATGAGAACATGTTGTCAACCTTGTTTTGCACCCTGTTTGAATGGTTGGTTGAGACTTCAAACAAGTACTTTTATTATTGTTTTGTCGACCTTCTTGACTACAAGTAAAACTCACATATCGTACAATCTCTTCATCGCCCTTCTTAGTATTTCTTTTTCTAATAGGAAACCCTAATTGGTAAGCATATTTTTTTGTAAAATTTAAAAATCTCATTTTATCCTCAAATTTCACACTAGCCTTAGGCACAATAATTTCATTTTCATCTCTTACATTTTATCGGCCGAACTATCGTCGTCCTCAAAATCATCACTCTTATTTACTGTCTCATCATCAGATGAGTCAACCTTCCTTCCTGGAGGAAAACATGTCCATTTGAATAACACACGAACACAACACCAAGACAATAAACCACATAAAATTGACATTATGTCAAAATTGGACAATGTTTAAGCATTGGAATAGAACAACCACTTCTTTGATTCGTTAACTCATTGTTGCAAATCTTCTAATTAATTGCTCTTCATAAGAAATCCAAAAATTTGTTGAAAAATAAAGGAGAAAGAAGCTCAATAAAATCTACAGGCCCTTTTTTTCAACATTGAGTTCACAAAAATTTCATTTCTTATTCAAAATTTCACATTACAATAGAAAAAAGAAATTACCCTCCTTTCTGTCGTCGGCATAAAGTTCTAAAAGCTTGTGGAACATGTTTTATATTTCTCTTTCAATTTGGGTCGATTTCTCTATAGAAGAGGAAGAAGATAAAAAAAATATGTAGACCCTTTTTTGTCAAAGTGAAGTACAACATTCGAAATTCCACATCAAAAAGGAAAAAAACATTTATTTAGCCCTATTGTCGTCACCAGCGTCCATATCGAAAATGGTGTGGAAAATGTTTCATGTTCTTCCATCCATTTGGGTTAACGGTGCTTCAGGTTGCAAATGGAAATTAAAAATAAAGGTAGGTTAAAGGTATGGAACACGAGGGTTTTTACAGAATAAATTTGAGGTTCTTTTTTTTTTTTTTGAAGTTGGCGAGATTTTTGACTCAAATTCTCGTCAAAATATTACCAACTCAGCATTCGGTAA